CCTCATCAGGAAATGGGAGAAATAATATCTTCCTTATAAGATGTCAAGAAAAATGGCAGACCTGGAACACCGCAGACATTGAATGAGAAGGTTGGCTCTTTCTCTCGGCTTCCCTTTCTGGGCCCCGTCTTCCTCCCTCCATTATAAGAACAGAAGATTTATGGTCATTTCTCCCTTTCTTTTCCTAATGGCAGAACTAAGTTGTAATGAAAGGGAAATGCTTTAGGCAAGAAAGCATTCTGCTCCCCTGTAAATCATCCCCACTCCAGCCTCAAAGGTCAGAGGAGTAAAAGGGAGGGAGCAGCCACAAGGAGAGAAGAGCTTCTGGGTTTTCTTCTCTGTGTGTATTGAGTGGGTGGTTGTCAAAGCACATGGGGAAAGGGGAAGGCAGCTGGGGAAATGACAGGTCCCAAACAGAACAGCTCCCAGTTTTCATGGCCTTATGCTAAGTACTTTATATGAATGTTCTCATCTGGGCACGGTGACTCATGCCTACAATCCCAGCACTTTGGGAGGTTCAGGTGGGCAAATCACGAGGTCAAGAGATTGAGACCATCCTGGCCAACATGGCGAAACCCCATTTCTACTAAAAATACAAAAATTAGCCAGGCGTGGTGGTACATGGCTGTAATCTCAGCTACTCAGGAGGCTGAGGCAGGAGAGTCGCTTGAACTGGGGAGGTGAAGTTTGCAGTGAGCCAAGATTACGACACTGCACTCCAGCCTGGCAACAGAGCGAGACTCCATCTCAAAAAAGAAGAATGTTCTCATTCATCTTCACCACAGCGAGGTGAAAGTGGGTATTGATGTCATCCACACACTAGATTAATAAGGAAAGTGAAGATCAGAGAGGTTGACAAATAGGTCCCAAGCCCCACACCAGCAGCCACAGGCCTGACTCCAGGGCATGGACTGAGTTTCTGCCGTTAACCCCAGGACGCTCTAGGGCTGTGAGGTAAGGGAGCTGGCAGGCCAGAAACCCACAGGGACTAAGCCATGGGCAGGTTCCTTTTTTTATCAGATTCTTTATTGTGTTTTTAAATTTTGCCCAGCCATTAGAATCACCTGGAGTTAAAAGAAGAAAAATATACAGCTGCCTAGGCCTGACCTCAGACCAATTGAATCAAAACACTGTAGGGTAGGGGGTGGGGGTAGAACTCAGTATTTTTTAAGTCTTGCCAGATGATTCTGAAGCACAGTGAAAGGGGGGAAACATTCATTATCTCTGAAGGTAGGAGATGATAGAGAGAGGAGAAAACAAGACGAGAGATTTTGTTCCCAGACCAAGCTGAGGGTCGGGCTATTTCCCCTGGCCCAATAACAAGATGCAAATGAACTGGAGAGGAAGAGAGTTTATTTCTATAACCGGTCACAGGGAGAAGGCCTGGAAAATACCACCAGACCAACTCAAAATTACAGTTTTCCAGAGCTTACATGCCTTCTAAGCTACATGACTATGTGTAAGTGTGCCTTCATCCAAAGACATACATGATTAACTTCTTCTAATCTGTAACTAAGATCTAAGTCCTGAAGACCTTCCTCTGGAGCCTCAGTAAATTTAGTTAATCTAGATGGGTCCAGGTGCTCGGGTGATTACCCTTATCTTGTCTCCTGCTAAATCATGGAGGGTTGGGGAGTTCCTTCAGACCCCAATAAAACTGGTTTAATCCTAAAAGGATCCCGCTAAGAATTCCTTCATTATCTTGTCATGCTTTAAGGCTCAGGAAAGGCCTAGGCAAAATTCTTGGGCTTTTATTACATTCCAGCCTTCGTGTAAGGCTACTGGCTCTCTCAGCTTTTAGTGTTTAACTTAACCACTCAGTCACTATTGAAACAGTTGTTATGGAGGCCTGCGTTAGCAAGACCTGACCTGCCACAATGGACCTAGAGGAAAAGTTCCCTAAGATCTCAAAAAATTCTACTTGATGTAAAAGGAAGTCCTGGCACTTACAGTTCTCAGACAGGTCTCCAGTCTGTGAGTCTCACTCTGAACCGAGTACACCCATTTTTCTAAGAAAGAAAAAGTTCTTAAAATTATTTGTCTGCTGGGTGCAGTGGCTCATGCCTGTAATCCCAACACTTTGGGAGGCCGAGGCAGGTGGATCACGAGGTCAAGAGTTCGAGACCAGCCTGGCCAACATAGTGAAACCTTGTCTCTACTAAAAATACAAAAATTAGCCAGGCATGGTGGCACATGCCTGTAGTCCCAGCTACTCAGGAGGCTGAGTCAGGAGAATCACTTGAACTTGGGAGGCAGAGGTTGTGAGCTGAGATTGTGCCACTTCACTCCAGCCAGGGCAACAGAGCAAGACTCTGTCTAAAAAATATATATATATATATATATTTATTTATCTTCTCTTTTCCCTATTTCTCCTTGTTCCCCACTTCCTTCTTAGCTCTTTAGAAATTCAACTATAACCTACTAACTCCCCTTCACCAGACACTCCTACAGGGCAAGTTCATCTCACTGTGTGCTTAGAAGCTTCAGAGCAGAACTTGCACCCACTAGGAAACTGCCTACAGAGACAAGTCAATTAATTAATAACCCAAAGTGTGCCTACTACGAAACTCTCCCTCACCTGGAGAGCTTCAGCCACCTTTACAACCTCACGTTTTCCCACAGAGATGCCAGCTCAACCACCCAGTAGATAAGTCATCAAAGCAAGTATGTGGGCTCCCCCACCTGCCCGCTTCCTCTCCTGCAGGACATTCATGCCAGCACACACACCCCCACACACACTTTAAAAGTGCCCACTTTCTGGTCCATAAATGAAGCGGTACCCCTCAAGGCAGCTTCTTCCCCTAAACTAAAAAGTCACTTTCCTTGTTCCAGACCTCCCATTTGTTCATCGGAGTCTACAAGCGATGAGTGGCTGAACCTGCATTTCTGTTACACGAATAGAGCGATTGAGAGAGAATCTTCCATGATTAGAGGCTGCATTCCCACGCCCAAGGGCATCTCATGTAAGTGGCATTCCTGGCCACACAGAACCAAGCAAAGGATGTGTGGGCTCAGCCCCAGCCCCGGCTCTGAGGACAATCTTCATTTCCCACGACAGGCCTTCCCATTAGATTCCCACAGGTATTCCCAACAGGCCCAGGGCCAGGCCACCAACATGCAGTCTTCCCTTTGTTTTAAAAGTAATGACCTGGGGAAATCTTTTGAGAAGAAAATTTCCCAAGGTACCCCGGAGCTACCCAGGGCATCCCAGCAGCTTCACACCACAGGTGTGATTAAAACATGAAATAATGAGGGAAAAGAGAACAGTGTAAAGATGTATTCTGCACTTTTCCCCTGTTTTCAATCGTTTTCGATGACTCCACCCCTGAGTGGGAGGGGGACCCATGGGATGGGAAGTTTCCTGTGTGAGAACAGGCATGGAAGGCAGGAACACAAGACAGTACTGCTGAGCTTCACTTCTGCCTTCAGAATCCCTCCCAGACTCTACATCCCTGGACTCCTAGGGATCTAAAAAATCCTGAAATATTCTGATACATTCTAGGATAAAAGCAGAAAATGCGAGTCTCCTCACCAAACCAAAAACATTTGCTCTGATGACAGACAAACACAATTAATTACATCGTGTGACACTTTTAAAACACTGACTGTCAGCCTCTTGGGCGTTTTTGGATGGCTGCCTGTCTTTCAGGCCTTTAACCTGGGTCAGTAAGAATCAACAAAGAGCTAGATGGTCCCAGGGAAGCCCCTGGTGGGGTCACAATCAGGTGAGTAGCAGCTCACTGGGCTGGAATTACCCAAAGTCACTCTTAAGCTGCCTATGAAAAGCCCACGGCCAGGGATGACTTGCAGGGCCCAACCTCACCCCAGGGCATAAGGAGGGGCCGGCCTAGCTACAGCTGCCACAAGGCAAGATGGGAAAGTGGCTTCCTCAGCCTGGCGGGGTCTGGAAATACATCAGTGAGTAGATTGGGGGCTTTCCAGAGCCAGACTCCCCGGGAGAGGCTCAGAATAGGGATGTGGAACAGATGCTATGCCTAGGGGGCAGATGACAGTGGAAAGAGGTTCCGCTGGGGAAGGTTTGGGGAAGGGGGTGTCTGTCAGAAAACTTGCTGGCTGGAGGCTGGGCCGTCAGGGCTAAGGTCGTCTGGATCTGCCCCAGCGTGTGACTGCAGGGTGGGCTCCCTGTGAGAGCTGGGATGCTGCCCCTTCAGCCTTCTCTGTACCAGCCCTGCCTGCCCATGCATTTAAGATCATGGCCTGAGCTCTCTTTCTGGTCACACAGTTGTTAATCTGCCACTGGTCCCAGCCAAGGCAGAGCCTCCTCTAATGTGTCCAGATCCTGAGCCCCAGACTTCCCTCTCCAACTGCCAGGACCTCATTTCACTGGCTGCTCCCCCAGGGGGGCCAACACCTTCTCTGCTTGCATAAGTCCTGGCCTGTGCTGTGCCCACACACGTCTCCAGGCTGGTGATGCAGCCCACAATTGCAGCCCGTGCAATTTCAGACCCGGCAGCAACTGCATACCGATAGCGCGTTATGCTCCACATGAATCTCCATTTTGAGTGCTTCACGGGGAAAACATCATCTAGTCCTCTCCAGGACTAGCCAGAATGCCGCCTTCTAGAGAAGGCTTTTAGTGATGCAAATGTCAAATTCCCCTTGTCTTTTGATAAGCTGGGCAGATCCCATCTGAAGGCTCCCACGGGACCAACAGACGCACTGCAGCTTTCGCAGGGGGATGCACGACATCCCTGAACACATTTGTTACACTCACCTCCACTCAGGCCCATAACAAATGGCCTGGATTCGATGACCAAGCCAGGAGCTGCAGGTTCGGCGGGGCTTGCCCAGCAGGTCACAGATGGGGAACTATTGTCTCAAACGGGCTGCAACTTACAGGTCCGTGCTACCCTTTTCCTTCTCCTTTGTCTCAACATTGTCCGCAACTGGTTTTGCTGCTGTCACATTTCGTCTCATTCGTCACAAACCTAGTTACTAAAACATTTTCTGCAATTAAAAAAGTGCAAGATAATAAAGCCTTAGAAAAATAAGTAACTCTTTTATTTCTACTTCAAAATACACCATGTACATCTGGAACTCTAAGGGGTAAAGTAACCAGGAGAGTATTCCACCATAAAAATGAAACAAGATAAAAAATAATAATTGCCCATTTCAGATCCGTCTTTAATCCAGCTGGAGAGGGTGTGAGCTGCCAGTTGTCTTGCTGTCAGGGGTCACCCCTCTTTCGGTGGCCTTGTGGCTGCCTCCCAAGGATTCTGAGTCTAAGAGGTCCTGGAGCGTCTTGAGGACATGCTTTGGCTGGCTGGTGGCAAAGTCCAGCAGGCGGGAGCCCATGTGCTCCTGGAGGCTCCGGGACAGCCGGCACACCACCGCACGGACGTTCCCACTGGGCACGGGCAGGATGCCGTTCCAGGGGGTGGTGTTCAGGAAGTGCCAGAGGACAGGAAGGACATGCCGCTCTACCGCCTGAGGCTTCCGGGGGTAAACTGAGGCCACCAGCACTGTCAGGCAGAAAAAGAAAGTCACTTGAGCCAGTCACTCTCTCCCTCTCCCACTTCCCTCTCTTGGGACACCAACTTTGTTCCCCAAAGGGCTAGCAGCCCAGCAGACGCAGTGCCTAAGGATCATGACACATTTAGGGGCCCATGAAAATGTGTTAGCTTCTTTTAACATTAGTAGAAAATATATGAACATATCCAACCTGGTTTATATCTATACTTACACCAACCATTCAAAAACTATAATTTTTGAATATTTTTAATGGAGAAAGGGGCATGCAAAGGCAGAAGTATGCAGAGTCTCTGACAATCATAATGGTTCCTCCAGCCCAGGGAACAGGAAAAAGGCAGGCACAGCTAGCCACAATCCTACCCCACCAGCTGTGTCAGCCTGAAGAAGCCACCTGACCTTTCTGAGCTTTTTCCAAATCCATAAAGTAGGGGAAAAAATGCTGAACTAAGGCCAGGCACAGTGGCTCACGCCCGTAATCCCAGCACTTTGGGAGGTCAAGGCAGGTGGATCACGAGGTCAGGAGTTTGAGACCAGCCTGACCAACATGGTGAAACCTCGTCTCTACTAAAAATACAAAAAATTAGCTGGGCATGGTGGTGCATGCCTGTAATCCCAGCTACTCAGGAGGCTGAGGCAGGAGAATCACTTGAACCCAGTAGGCGGAGGTTGCAGTGAGCCGAGATCATGCCACTGTACTCCAGCCTGGGTGACAGAGCGGGACTTCGTCTCAAAAAAAAAAAAAAAAAAAAAAAAAAATGCTTAACTAACCGCTCAAGATTGTTAGAAATTCGATAATAAATATACATAAGGTCCCTACCTGTAGGCAGGCAGACGACAAATAGTAACTATATTGGTATTGCATTTATCCACATCACCACCTATGGAAGTCCACGCAAATACAGAGGAAAAACTACGGGGAGGGAAATCGAGACCTTCTCACATGACGCATGACGGCAGACAAGACAGCTGGCAGGGAAGACGGCTAGCACAGCCTCCCCGACGCCCGGATGCCAAACCTCTGGACGAGACCAGCTGCAGAGGCACGAACATGCTTGTGAACCACCAAGCTCTGCACAGACCATTCCATTGATGAATCCCTCAAATCTGGTTGCCCAAGGCACCCAACCCTCTCTAAACCCCAGAGAACCCAGAAGCCAGCTGAATCTGCCAACCAGCCTCCATCACCGGAGCAAATGCCAGAGCTGTGGCCGCATCAAAACCGCATCAAGAGCTCTCCTGGGTCCCCAGAGGGGACCTTCAACTGTGGCCGCATTACCCTAAATGCATTAGCACTAACGAAGCTGGCTTTGCGACTCACACACTCTGCCTGTCATCCTGCCAAAGGATAATTGCTGGGGCAGGCAAACAACACTCATAGCAGTGCTTTATTGATTCTGGGGGCAAAGAAACTGGAAGATTCTGCGGGCCAGGAATTCTGCAGAAAACAGTTTCCATATCCTGGAAACTGCCTGAGCCCAGGGCTCAGAGCTTTGCGGCAAAGCTCCATTTCGCGCTCACAGCACCCTCAAGGCAGGATGTCTGTTCACTTTCCAGAGGAGGAAAGCAAGACTCAAATCAAGGCAAAGCGCAAAGCAGAGGACCGAGGCCAAATCTGCCTGGACTCCAAAGTCCACGCTCTTTCTATCCCCAACTATCCCCAAATTTCTAGGGATTCCATATTTCAGAGACTGATCGGGAGTTTCATTCATTCATTTATTCATTCATTCATTCATTCATTCATTTACTGGGACAGGGTCTTGCTCTGTCACCCAGGCTGGAGTGGAGTGGCACAATCATGGTTCACTGCAGTCTCGACCTCCCGAGCTCAAGTAATTCTCCTGCCTCAGCCTCAGTAGTTGGGGACCACAGGCATGGACCACCATGCTCAGTTAATTTTTTTAAAATTTTTTGTAAAGATGGGGTCTCATTCTGTTACCCAGACTGGTCTTGAACTCCTCAAGCAATCCGCCTACCTTGGCCTCCCAAAATGCTAGGATTATAGGTGTGAGCTGCCAAGTTTTATTTTTAATGAAACTGCAAATTGTCCTTCCCTCATCAGCTCCACATCATCCAATCCCTTAGGATGTCTTTCCCCGAGAGCCCCGTGGGTCCCTCTGATTTCAAAGCCAGCCTTGAACAATGAGGAACCAGGGAAGATGACTTGGGCCACCTCTGGTCAGCCTGACACTCTCTCGGTGACATTTCTCAAGGAATGTTGTCTTTGAGGCCACACCCTTGGGGCTCTTGCAGGGAACCTTAGAGGTGAAGGTGGCCCTGATAACTGGAAGGGCAGGACTGCACCCTGTGGGTCACCCCAGCATTCCCCAGGAAAGGATCCTGGAGGAAAGGGCTTGGAGGAGCTTTCTAAAGTGAAGCGAAGAGGTACACTGATTGGAAAGAGTTGAGAGTTCTGTTCCCTGTGCTTGAAACAGGCTGAGTCGGAAGAGAACAGGTGACAGGAAAGCAGTCCCTGTCAGCCCCAGGGTGGGAGATGAGGGGAAACTAGAAGGAGTTCAGTGAGAGGGAACCAAAAGAAAATGAATAACCCAGCTGGGCGTGGTGGCTCGTGCCTGTAATCCCAGCTACTCAGGAGACTGAGGCAGGAGAATTGCTTGAACCCAGGAGGTAGACATTGCAGTGAGCTGAATGGCACTATTACACTCCAGCCTGAACAACAGAGTGAGTCTTCATCTTAAAAAAAAAAAAAAAAAAAGAAAAGAAAAGAAAATGGATGATCCTGACCTATACTTAATAACGATAACTCAGAGGTGTTCTGAATCTCCATGGAATCTCACCTGCAAAAATAAGTGAAAACGCAAAGACATATTTGTATACCCATGTTTATACCAACCTTTTTCACAATTGCCAAAAGGCAGAAGCAGCCCAGTGTCCACTGAGGAATAGATAAACAAAATGTGGCATGTACACACAATGGAATGTTATTCAGCCTTCAAAAGGAAAGGAATTCTGGCCAGGTGCTGTGGCTCACACCTGTAATCCAAGCACTTTGAGAGGCCAAGGCAGGTGAATTACTTGAGGTCAGGAGTTCAAGACCATCCTGACCAACACGGCAAAACCCTGCCTCTACTGAAAATGCAAAAACTAGCTGGGCGTTGTGGTGGGTGCCTGTAATCCCAGCTACTCGGGAGCCTGAAGCATGAGAATGGTTTGAGCCTGGGAGACAGTTTGCAGTGAGCTGAGATCTCATCACTACACTCCAGCCTAGGTGACAGGATGAGAATCTCTCCCCACAAAAAAAGTTGGGGGGACCAGGTGCAGTGGCTCACGCCTGTAATCCCAACACTTTGGGAGGCCAAGGTGGGTGGATCACTTGAGGTCAGGAGTTCAAGACCAGCCTGGCGAACATGGTGAAACCCCATCTCTAATAAAAATACAAAAAAAAAAAATTAGCCAGGCATGGTGGCAGGCACCTGTAATCCCAGCTACTCAGGAGGCTGAGGCAGGAGAATGGCTTGACTCAGGAGGCAGAGGTTGCAGTGAGCCAAGATCGTGCCACTGTACTCTAGCCTGGGCAACTGAGACTCTGTCTCAAAAAAAAAAAAAAGGGAAGGAAATTCTGACACCTGCTACAACATGGATAATAGATAAATCCTGAGGATATTCTGCTGTGTGAATTAAGCCAGACATAAAATGACAAAAACTGTATAATTCCATTTATATGACATACCAAGATAGCCAAAATCATAGAGACAGAAAGTAGAATGGTGGTTACCAGGGTCTGGTGAAGGGAGGAATGGGGAGTTAGTGCCTAATGGGGACATGGTTTCTGTTTTCCAAGATGTGAAGAGTTCTGCAGATGACTGTAAAACTTCATGGACACTTAGTACCCACTGAACTGTACACCCAAAAATGGTTAAGGTGGCAAATTTTATGTTGTGCATTTTAACACAATATTTTTAACAGGGGGTAAGGTGGTTTGACTGTGTCCCCACCCAAATCTCATCTTGCATTGTAGTTCCCACAATTCCCACGTGTCATGGGAGGGAACCGGTGGAGTCTTTCCAGTGCAGTTCTCATAATAGTAAGTCTCAGGAGACCTGACGGTTTTATAAGGTTATAAGGAGGAATTTCCCTGCACAAATTCTGTCTTCCTTGCCACCATGTAGGATGAGTGGCATGATTGTGAGGCCTCCCCAGCCATGTGGAACTGTTCGTCCATTAAACCTCTTTTTCTTTATCAATTACTCAGTCTCGGGTATGTCTTTATCTGAGAACAGACTAATACAGCAAGGAAAAGTGAGAACTATCTCAAGAACCAGGCCCAGGCGCGCACCCTCCACCCCGACACCCACCAAAGGCTGGGGGTCTCCACCTGTGCCCCAAAGAGCCCCCTTCCCCATCCTGCTACATTTTCTCCGCTCCTGCTCCTTGCAGTCTCTTCCAGAGTCAGGTGCGTTTACACTTCAGCCCCCAGGAAGCTCACTCCACAGGAAGAGTAGCAGTCCCCACCTGAACTCAGTTCCACAGCCAACTCCACCTTCTCCATTCACATCTTGGCTAATAGAATTCAGGCTACTTCAGAGCCACATGCCCCAGGTGCAAGGATGTGGCGGTCACCTGGGTAGCAGGGGTTGACTCTGAAGCTGGCAGAGATGGTGAGGCCCTTCTGGGGGCCAGCATGAGGGACTAAACTCCACTAAACTCCAGCTTAGAAGCAGCTGAAGTAATTAGCAGATTTACTCCTATTAAGCCGTGCTATTATTAGACATCACCTGTATCAATAAAAATTTTCTTTTCTGTTCCTCGTGGACACAGAGTTAACAGAAGAGCTATGGAGAAGCTCTTGCTTTTGAGGTCTCTTGGAAATAAGAAAAAAATGACAGTAAGTGGATATGGTGAAGATACTAGCCTACCTCTGGGCCCCATAAATTACCCAGACAAGGAGAGGTAAACCTTTCATGCAGAAAATGCTGATTTTGAGCAATGGCAAAGGGTTCCTTGTCTGGTGCCTAGGGCTGTCTTAGTTATATACCCTGTTCTGCCCCAGCGCACCCGCAGCCAGCGCTGCCTCACTCGCCCCATTTGCTCCGGGAAGACCTCGAACCTGCCTTCCCGTAAGGAAAGAGGCCACTCCAGGAATGCTACAAGGACAGAACCATGCAGAGGCAAAGCCAGGAGCAACAGATAGGGCAGGGGAAGAGCTGAAAGGGCAGCTGGCATCAAGGTCCTCTGCCATACAGCATGTGCCGGGCCCCTCTCTGAATGCTCACAGCCGGGCTAGGAGGGGAGGGCAGCAGAAGACCAGTGATACCATGTGGGACGCAGCCTTGAGAAGTACTTGGGGAGAAGGTAATGCCAGAGCCAAGCAGGCATCCCCCAGGTAGGGTAAAAAGAATGGAGGCTTTCCAGGCAGGCAGCCATGTGTGGGCAGAGCAAGAGGTTGAGAAACCAGCCACTGCGTGGACAGTGCATGCAGGCACCCAGGAGACAGAGTGTCGAGGGAAGCAGCACAGCACAGACCTGGGTGCTTGGCTCTGCAGCCAGCCTCCCAGGACATGTGCTGCATTCCTCACCAAGGGACCTTGTGCATGTCACTTTTCTGAGCTCCATTCTCCTTTTCTCCACCAAGTGGAATCTACATCCTCCTGTGAGCTGGTGATGAGGATTCAGTGATCCAGTGCATAGAGCTAGGGGCAGGAGAAGGGGGCACAGCCTAGAGCAGCAGTGACAGCTGTGAGCCACTCCAGGGGGCCTTGACACCATCCTGAAGACAGCCCAGTAGTCTCACAAAGATTGAAGTTGGGCTGGTGCATGATCTGTCTGCGTTTCAGGGGGACCATTAGGAGTTGAGGGAACAGAGTCTCCCTGCCCCCCTCCCTAGATGGGACCTTCCCAAGATAAGGGAGGAGGCCTTGTGCAAGCAAAAATGATCATGAAACCAAGCTAAGTAACCTGCCCAAGCTCAGGGCTGCTGATGGTAGATGGGTCTGTGGACCCCAAAGCCTGTGTCCTTTCTGTGTTGCCACCTCAAGGGCCACAAGAACCAATTTCAGCCCCAGAATGAATTCACTTGGACTTCTCCTGTAGACTCAAAGCAGAAACAGGATTGGAGCAACCTTTCGTCAGCTGAAGCTTGAGCAAGGCTGAGCAGATTCATGCCGAGTCCCCGTCTCCACATAACACAGTCCCAGCACCAGCCAAGGGGTCCTGTGGGGTTAAAGCCCAGCCTGCGCCTGCGTGCCAGGCTGCACACACCAAAGTTGCACATGGCAACATTTTCTAATTCTCTTCATGGTGCTATCAATTGACCAAGCCATATGCACCCACCAGGCAGTGTCTATCTGGAAAGGGAGGCTTCTTCTGATTCACACAAAGGTACTCTCTAGGCTAGAAGCATCCGTGTCTACCAGGAGGAGGAAAGGCACCCAGGTTGAGTGTCCCTTATCTAAAGTGTTTGGTACCAGCAATATTTCAGGTATGTATCTGATTTGGGAATATTTCCATGATACTCATCAGTTCTGCATCCCTAATCCCAAAATCTGAAATCAGAAATGCCCCAATGTGTATTTTCTTTGAATGTCATGTCGGCGCTCAAAAAGTTTCAGATTTTAGAGCATTTCCAATTTTCCAGTTAGGGAGATTCAACCTGTAACAGTTTCTTAAAACCTCTTTTGCTTTTGTACAAACATACCTCATTTTGATCAAAAACAAAGACTGTCTTCTGGCAATGTGGAGATTGTCACACACACAGGAAACCAGATTATCAAAATTTTAAATGATTGATGGGGTTTATTTCAGGTCTAAGATAACAGGGTGAATGATTCAACCACAGGCCAGGAGAGAATCTACCAGGAGGCTGGGTGGGGCAGGGCTGGGGTTGCTCACCTGCCAGGCGATCCGTGACATCCAGCACTGCACGGCCACTCAGGAAACGCACCCGCCCAGCAAATGCTGGAAGAAGGCAAAGGTCGTCTGAAAGAGAAGGGGGATGTCAGTGGCCATGCCGTTGGGGGCTGAGTGATGACAGCATGAAGAGTTTGCAGGGCCACATACCCACAATGCCTGCATGGGGGTGAGGCCTTCAGGGGAGCTGAATTAATTTTTCCAGGTCACAAAGGGGCCACTTAAAGTGAATGTATGTAGCGTGTTTGGGAAAGAATGAGTGGCCTCAAATAGTTAAACTGGCTCCCAAACAGGCTTCATTTATTCCCACAGATCTGGTTCGTATTGTCTGTGCTTCTCAAAATTGCCATAGTTTTGGGGCAAAACAGAGTAGATATATGGACAGGTACATAGATAGATAGATAGATAGATAGATAGATAGATAGATAGATAGACGGATGGATACATGGATGGATGGATGAATGGATGAATAGATGATGGAGATAAGATGATGGAAGATAGATAGATAGAAAATAGAGATGAATGGACGGATATACAGATATTCTTTTAGGGGAAACTGAGTTACACAAAGGTCAGTAAAGGGTTAGGATCAGAATTTAGAAATTATAGCTCTTCTCAAAGCCTGAATTTGTGCTCTAACTACCAAGATGTACCCACAGCCAGTGGTGGTTTATTTCCACACTGAACACATACTGATATCAACTATGTAAAAGGCATGGGGCTAGGAGCCAAGTAAAACCCAGTCCTCCCGTCCCCCTCAAGAGGCTCCTCTGACGAGCAGACAGAGGCTCAGACATGAACCGTGACACAGGATGGAAAGCCCTGTGCTCTTGTAACCAAGAGCCTGCAGGTCTGAAGCCAGGGTGACCTCTGGTCCTGGTGGGCCTGGGCTCTCCCCACTTCAGCACTGTCAGTCCCAAGTCCTAGGAACCCAGGATGCCTGGTCATTGTTGGAAATAGATGCTCGGTGCTGCAAAGAAAAATCAGCACTGAGACAACGGATCTTTCAGCAACACAATTTTTTGCTTCCTGGACTGCAGGAAGGGTACTCTCGCTAACCATTGCACCACAAGAGTACAATGAACAAAGGAAAACACATTTATCCCTTATGCACTTGGGGTTGTCCGTACTGCTGTGGCAGATCTCCGCTGGCTGGAGTCAGACCTCACAATCTAAACCAAAACCCAATTGGCTAATAACTTAAAACTTTTCTAAACAGATAAAAGCAATGGAGAGCTGGGACATGCCTATGAGCTCATCCAGCACAGATATCTTGGTTCAAGTATAAGGACATAAAATGTACTACATGCCTGTAAGCATGGCATGTCTAACAGCTACATAGGATAGGGCTTAACAAAGTTATTAGCACACTTATAACTTATTCTTTAACAAGAAAGGAAACTGTAAAAAGGAACTTTTCTACTTCCCAGTCATTCTATGCAGAGCAGAAGCATGGCTCCGTGTGGGAGCCGCCAGACTAAGCAGCCCTGGCAGGGTCAGAGGAGGGAGTTTGTGGGTTGAGGAGCATGTATTATCATCAGTGGTTTATGTATGACCTCACTGCCTGGGCCTGATTTTCTTCATGCTTGTAAACTCCAGGTGGTCTGAATCCCAGATGCAGCATGAATGTACTTGCAAAGACGGCTAAATTTATCGTCTCTATGCCCCAATACGCCTTTCAGGAGGTTTGGAGAAAGAGGGATTTTAAAACCTTTTTAAAAAATTGTCCCAGTGTCCCCACCCCCACCCCCAATCCCAGCTCCACCAACTATCCAGCCACACCCAGCTGGATAGGCACAGCTTCCCGGCTGCCCAGCCACGCCCACAGGTAAAGCTCCGGGGACTGAGCACCTCTCCATTTGTATCTTGAAAGAACTGAAATAGTATGAGTGTTCATTACCGAGATGAGCCTCTAATGGTGAAATCACAAGCAAATGGGGTGGGGAGTTTCCAGGATAAAGAGGCTCTGTCTCCTTCATGTTCGAGGTTGACTGCAGTGGGACCCCGTATCTACTGAATTTAGAAGCTGCTCATTTCTCCCCATTCTAGCTGACACCTCCTGGTTTCTCCAGCTATTAAATTCGAAGAGCTGCATGTCTCACAAAGACACAAGGTAAGAAAAGTGGCCCTGCCCTAGAAAGGTGGCTAAGCTGAGAACTACACATCATCATCAGAACCTTCTCCCTGTGGACTGCAGAGGAACTGCCAAGCTCCCAGCATTTTGCAACCACACTAGTCACAGCTTAATTCAGCAGGAGGTGGGGCAAGTAACACAATGCACTTTTCAGAGATGTGGCTCTGGGGCTTTCCTGCACCTGTCAGGGAGGGGAGGGCAGGTGGCCTGTGTGATGTTACCACAGCAGCCCCAACTTTCGTGTCCTGGGTCCCAGGAGCTGACATCTCAAGGGCAGACTTCTCTTTGCAGGGGACAGAGTTTTTAGAACTCTGCACAAGGAAATCTGTCCAGTCTGACCTTTCCCAAGTTCCTTCAAGACCTCAGCACACAGCCCCTGTAGAGGTGAACTCAAAGCTTTGCTTTTCTCATCAGGCACAAGTTTAGCTCAGAGTTCATCCCTGCTCCCCTTGCTCTCCTCCTGAGGGACACAGAGGAGAAAATGTACCCCGGTACATCTCTGCTGTTTGCAAACGCTCCATCCACAAAGCAAGAGGCTTTAAAATAATTTGTCCTGGGAGATAAATGAGACGCCAGCTTCTAGAATATTGCAATTAGTAAGACAAGGTCTCAGGGTTCATTGGTAAAGCTGTTAATTGCATAAGAATAGGTTTTTATATGAATGGCACCTCTTTCATTGCTTCCAGGTGTTTCTATCTGTCACACCCCCATCAATTACCTGGACTCAGATTTGAAGAAAAGGACTTCTTCCTCCTTGGTCATCTCCCACAATACTCAATCTAGAACATTCTCTAAGGAACATGGCTGTGCTTTGGTCAAGGATAGGCCAAGATAAACATCCAGAGTGACTCAGCAAGTTTAGAGCGCAGGCATATAACTCCACTTGTTATCACAGCCATGTAACCATAACATGGGAAGGCCATGCCTTGGCCCTAAGCCACTATTGTCTGTAAAAGGTATAATTGCCCTGCTGACACTGTACAGGCTTGTGTGTGCCCAGAGAGTGAAGCTACTGCCCCCTGTAAGAAAGAATGACCGTCTGGCAGATAGACATAGAGCCAGGAAATGGCTATGCCCAGAGGAAAAGAGTTAAGCTGCTGACCCTGAAGACAAGGGAGAACCGGCGCAGCTGCGTGTGGGAGCCGCCGGACTAAGCAGCTGAGGCCGAGGAGATGGTGTGAGAGCACGCTGCTGATGAGAGCTGCTGCTGAATAAAATCATCTTTCACCTGCCTATGGCGCCCAAGTGTTCCTTCTGCGCATCCACCCACTCCCTTCCTACCTCAGCACGAACTCGAACCTGACCCTGGGTGTGACAATTGGCTTATCGTGAACCTGACATCTAGACACAGTTGGGGGTCCCCACTTCTGGCCCCAAACATCCTCCCTCCCCAGAGCCAGAAAGAAGTGAACTTGGGGAACACTTAAAAATACATATCCGCCGGGCGCGGTGGCTCACGCCTGTAATCCCAACACTTCGGGAGGCCGAGGCGGGTGGATCACGAGGTCAAGAGATCGAGACCATCCTGGTCAACATGGTGAAACCCCGTCTCTACTAAAACTACAAAAAATTAGCTGGGCATGGTGGTGCGTGCCTGTAATCCCAGCTACTCAGGAGGCTGAAGCAGGAGAATTGCCTGAACCCAGGAGGCAGAGGTTGCGGTGAGCCGAGATCGCACCATTGCACTCCAGCCTGGGTAACAAGAGTGAAACTGTCTCAAAAAAAAAAAAAAGAAAAAAAGAAAAATACATATCCAGGCCAGGCATGGTGGCACACGTCTATAATCCCAGCATCTTGGGAGGCTGAGGCAGGGGGATCACCTGAGGTCAGGAGTTTGCAACCACCCTGACTAACATGGTGAAACCCCACCTCTATGAAATACAAAAAAAAAAAAAAAAATAGCCAGGTGTGTTGGTGCATGCCTGTAATCCAAGCCATATGGGAGGCTGAGACAGGAGAATTGCTTGTACTTGGAGGGGCAGAGGTTGCAGTGAGCCAAGATCATGCCATTGCACTCCAGCTTGGGCAACAAGAGCAAAACTCTGTCTCAAAAAAACAAAATGCATATCCAGGAGAGACCTGTGCCAGACAGTGCTCCCATGGTGCACAGCACATGGCAGGTGTTGAATAAATGCTTGTAGCATGCAGGGCAATGTCAAGACAGAACACAGTGTGCCTGAGCTGGTCTATGAGCCCCAGAGCACTATGCCCAGGCAGGTGGCCTGTCTTTCCTCTGGCCACTTTTAGAGTGAAGGCTCACCTTTCTGGTTACCTCCAGGTTCACTAAGACACACTGAAGCATAGCAGTTATAAGAGCTCTGAATAAAGACTGCCTGGGTTTGAATCCCGGCTCTTTCATGTTTTACTGTGGAACACTGGACAAGCCACTTAGCTGCTCTCTGCCTCAGTTTACCCATCTATAAAATGGGGATGATACTAATAACTTTCTCATAAAGTTGCTGTAAGAGTTCAATGAACAAACAATGCTGAGGATAGTGCCTAGAGCATATAATTACTATGCAAGTATCAGCTACTATTGCTACTATTATTACCTTAAAACTCTCTGAGAGCCCAGCAACCAACATGGTAGAGAGACCAATGAAGAGGCTAAAATCTACTTTTTAAAAGCTGAAAATCTACACTCCACTAGTCTAGCCTGGGGCTTTCCTCGGCTGCTTTTCTGCATCACAAGGAAGCAAAGACTGACCTTGCAATGGAGAGAAAACCACCACCAACCTCAGCCCAGAGACGCTGTCCTTCCTAGGCTCAGACTCCCCTCTCTACAATGGGGTGGAGGTCTAAGGGGCCTTACACCTGTCCCATTCAGCCAAGCCCTGAGGCCACCAGGTCACATCATCCTCCAGCTACTGGGAAGCCAGATAAGAGCTTTTACGAAAGTGTAGAAAACACAGAAAACAAGGACAGTGGCAGCAAG